GGGGGTACCTAAAAAAACCCAGAATCTTATTTTTTTTCAAAGTTACATATTTAAAATTTTTTTATAAAACAACCTTATTACCTTTGAGGTACTCTCCATTACACCTAATACATTTGTCAAATGTGCGATTACATTCTTGGAAACATTTTTCAAAGATCTGTTTAGATGGCTGATAGCACCTCCCTCGTTTTTTTCTTCACCTCTTCTATGTCCTCAAATTGCTATCCTTTCATGTCCCTCTTCATTCGTGGAAACAAAAAAGTAGCAAGGAGCGAGGTCAGGTGAGTAAGGTGTGTGGGGCATGAAAGCCATGCTGTTTTTTGCCAAAAACAGATGGGCTGGGATGACCGCGTGAGCAGGTGTATTACCGTGGTGGCAAAATCAGTCCCCGTCTGCCACAAAGCAGGCCTTTTTAGTCACACACTGTTAAACAATCTTTTCAGAACCTCTAAATAGCTTGATTAACAGTCTGACCTGGTGGAACAAATTCCAAAGGCACTATCCCCCTCACATTATATTTGTTTTTTGGGGAGTACCCCCTCGTATATGTGGGGCGTGGGGAGCAGTAGGCCCAACTGAAGAGTTATTCTGCGAGACTTAGACGGAAAGTAATTAGAAGATTAGAAGGTAGATTTTCCTGGTCAGTGGCCACCTGCAGCTAGCAGTGGCCTCTCTCAGCTCAGACAGCTAGACCTCTTTCTGAGAATGCCAGGTAGAGGCCTGGGAGTTTGAGGTGCCCATGGACGTGTGCACGTGGCAGGGTGCATCGAGATTTTCTCTCCAGCACTTTCTTGTTGCCACTTCTCCTCCTTTCCTAACCCTTCTTGCCTTCTGAACCCTGTTCTTGGGCAAGTGCTGCCCTTTGGATCTCGAATAATGGCTTGTTCTAAAGGGTGTGTGTCTCCCTAGTGTTATTTGCAACCATATAGACCTGTCTTATCATTTTGCTGAAAATTGAGCCAGGGAGGTGAGCTCTGTTCCAGGCCTGAAGGATGACCCAAGGGCCATAATTTGGGGGGTTCCACCAGTCTTTATGCCACCAGTAAGCCCAGCCTTTATTTCCAAATTTCTTTACAGGAGTAGAAAGCCCCATCTTTCTCCCACATATCAAGCTGGTGGTTTCGAACTGCCGAATTTGAGTATCACAACCCATCTTCTCTGTTTCCAAATCTCTTAAGGTAGAATGCAAAGAACAAGGATATAGGATCAACTGCTTCAAATGAATTGGCCCAACTATTGATTTATAGCCAACAGCTCCCTTCTTTACTATCTCCTTTTGGTCCTACATTCAGATTGTCCATCGCAGTTTCTGGTTTACCTTCTCTAAATTTGTTTCTTTTTCATCTTTGGAGGAGAATGTGTAGTTTTACTTCTCTGAATAATAATAGGTAACATTTTTATGGATTTGTCCATGTAGCGGGAGCTCTCCTAAGGTGTTAACATGTGTTAACTTCTTTGCCCTTAAGACATACTCATTGGCTAGGTACTATTATCTCCATTTAACAAATAAGAAAATGAAGCTCAGAGCAGGGTTATAGCTTGCCTGGTGCTACTCAGCTAGCAAACATCCTGGTTGGACTCTTAACCTCGCCTTTATACTGCCTCTCACACAGTCAGGATGGCTGGCTGGTCTCCTTCACTCTTCATGAAGCAAAAATGCTTTCGTCTGTGTGTATTTACCCAAAGATAGTCTTGGTGGTGTAGTAGGATACGCATTGGGCTACTAACTGCAAGGACAGAAGTTTGACACTATCAGCCAGTACGAGAGAGAAGGAGGCGGCCCTTCTATTCCTGTTAAGATTTATAGTCCCAGAAAACCACAGGGACAGTTCGACTCTGGCCTGTAGGGTCCCTATGAATTTACTCAATGGCAGTGAGCTAAGTTATGAGATCGGTTATGTAGTTCCTGTAAGTCTGCAGCGTGTATTCCAAAGTATTTAGCCGTTTGGAGTCAGATCCCATCGCTTAAATTGGCTGTATCTTAGGCATCTGTTGTAATTGCTAATTAATGTATTGAGGGCATGATTTATGTGATACAGTCATGCAGCTAATGATAGCAATTGAAACCATTAGCTTTTTCCAGTGTGCTTTTTAAAACCAGGTATATTCAGTGGTGGAATGTGAATTTTTGAGATGACAGAATGAAGCAATAACATACCCTGCTTCTTTTAGTAAAAGACTTCAACCTACAGAAAATACATAAAATGAAACTGTGCTAAAAAATAGAGGCTATGACACAACTATTGGTCCTTCTCCACCTGGAGCAAAGAAGAGTAAAGAAAGTCAAAGTCGCAAGGAAACAATTAGTACATAGGCCTAATGGACCCTGAGCACCTCAGCCTCTGTGATCAGAACTATGAGGCTCCTGTTCCCACTGCTAACTGCCATTCAAGGGGTAGCAATAGGAGGCTGTAGACAGAGTGGGAGGAAAATGTGGAACAAAACTCAAAATCATAATGGCAGGGCTTACTGGTCTGATAGAGACCGGTGGAAGCCTGGAAGCTAACCCCCTTAGAGACCCTTCAAAGCAAGAACTGAACTCACCCTTATGGCTCAGCTTTCAGCCCAACCATGGAGAAGCCTATAAAGTGAACATAACACCAGGGAGGTATACACTCCTTAGAAAAATCATACACTCCCTAGAAAAACCCTCAGAAGAAGGCCAGAAGGGTTAGGAAAGTAAAACCAGAAGTGGTCAACACAGGGAGGCAGTAGAAAGAGTGCTTCTACCTTGTGGGGGAATTGCAGTCAATGTCATGAAACAAATTGTGTATTAAAGATTGAATGGAAAAATAATTTGCTTTGCAATCTGTCACCCACATTAGGATTTAAAAAAGAAAGTTAAAAAGAAAAAAAATTCTAATGATGTCTGAGAAAATACGAGTAAAAGTTAGAAGGTCAGGAACACTCTCCATATAGACAATCTACCTATAAAAGTACAGAAATGGAAAACTGAGTGTGAAAGTATAAAGCCAAAACAAGGTAGAGCCTGGTTAACTATGTGATTGAAGAAAAAACACATAAAAGTAAAACTTAAAATGTTTTGGTCTTAGTGGCCCAGCAGTGATTGTGTTGCAGCAAGTGAGAGAACTAGATGGGGTAAGGAGTTTAGTAGTCAACAGGGATGTGCCCATATTTATCTATTCTGTACATTGGAAGCCCTGGTGGTGTAGTAATTAGGCATTGAGCGGCAGGGTCAGCAGTTCAAAATCACCAGCCACTCTGAGGAAAAATACAAGGCTTTCTACTCCCATAGAGAGTTAACAGTATCAAAAACCCACTGGGGCAGTTCTACCTTGTGCTATAGGGTCGCTATGAGTTGGGATTGACTCAGTGACAGTGAGTACACAAGGTGACCTGGTAATAGAACGGGGATTTGTTCTAGCAGCATAAGTGTTAACACTGCATGTAGATTTTACTGTTCACGAGTGTTTTCATTCAGAAGAGTAATCTGTTGTGACTTGGGCTTTAAAATAATAATTACAAATAGGACCTTTTGTATTAGTCATTACTTGTCCCTAATTTGGGTAGTGAGAATTACTAGGAACTTGAGCTAGAACGAGGTGGCAGTATCTGGGGTTTGTGATCTTTTCAGTGCCTTGCCTGTAACCGAATTTACGACAAAATTAGTCCCAGCAGTAGTGTGTGGCTCATCAGTAGTTTGAGCATATTCTTACTAACGTGACCCACTTAGTCTTCATCTCTCCCTGACCTCTTGGCCACCTTTGCTCATAGTCTGAACCTCTAATGGCACTGAAATCCTAGGATGAGCTGCTAAGAGGCCAAATGTAGCCCTGGTGGCATAGTGGGATACAAGTTGGGCTGCTAACCACAAGGTTAGCAGTTTGAAACCACTGTCAGAGAAAGATGGAACTTTTTACTCCTGTGAAGATTTACAGTCTCAGAAACCCACAGTTCTCAGAATCGACTCGATGGCAGTGGGTTAGTTGAGATCAGGCCAAAAAGTTCCCATTGCTGTCTATAGAGGGCATCTTTCTATGTGATTTTTATATAATAACAACTATCTTTTTCGTGTGTGTGGCTATGACTAGGAGCTAATTCATATGCAACCATGAGCCAAAAGCAACTTACTCGGGGGGAATAGGTTAGGCAAATTTGGGGAACTTTTATTTTATTCTGTGGCAGGTTTAGGAAAATCTTCCTTTTTACTTCTACATATAACCTCCTCTCTGTGGAATGGGCAACAGAAGGGTGGGTGAAGGGAGACGCTGGGCAGTGTAAGATAAGATATAATAATAATTTATAAATTATTAATGGTTCATGAGGGAGGGGGGAGGGAGAGGGGAAAAAGGAAAATGAGGAGCTAATTCCAGGAACCCAAGAGGAAAGCGAATTTTGATAATGATGATGGCAACAAGTGTATGAGTGTGCTTTACACAATTGATCTATGTATGGATTGTGATGAATTGTATGAGCCTCAATAAAATGATTTAAAAAAAGTTTTTATTGTTAATTAGGTGAAGGTTTACAGAGCAGATCATCAGTTTTACACTCAACAATTCATAAGTCCAATAAATGATCTCTTTGGGTCTGGAAAGGGTTCATTTAATTTTGAAAGTGAATTAACTTTGGGTTAGGGTTAATATATTTATTAGGGTTAATAATATATAATAGTGTGATAGTAAGAGCAAAATACACGTGTATAATTCATTTGCTCAGCAGTTTGCTAAATCGATTTTGGCTTCTGGAGTTAATAAAATAGAGCAAGATTAAATCCATTAAACCTGTAGAGCCTTTTCTTTATCTTGCAGATCATTATTTAATTGGCCCTTGCTCTTAAGAAATGTTTACTCTAGTTAGAGATATGATTTATGGAGTAGCCATAAATGGAAATATGTATATGTTTGTGACCTTCCTACAGACCTTTATAAAATATGTTTATAGTAGGGTCAAGTGCTCTGGGAAGGTGCACAGATCTTTGGGATTACTGGGAAGAACCCGTGGAACCGAGCTTCTGTTTGTTTTATTTTGTCTTCTAGGTTTTGTTCTTTGAACAAGGGGCTGCTTACCCCTAACAGAGGACTGGCACAAGAATCCCAGGATCCCAAGAAGCAAAGACCCTTCCACATTGATGAAGGTAAGGAAGCGTGTTTACCTTTTATCCTAAGTTAGGGGGAAAACTCCAACAAACAAAAAACCTTCTGGGAGGTTTTCAAAACAGTTATTTAGGGAAAATGAGGCATATTAAAAGTAGGTCTTTTATGGACATTGGGCTTCTACTCAAGTACTTCCTCAACACAAGAACACTTTGTTTTAATATCTTGGCATTCTGTGATGCTCACCTTCCCATCACGATCTCGCTCAAGACAAAGCGGTGCATAAGCAAATGTGGTGAAGAAAACCGATGGTGCCCGGCTATCAAAAGATAAAGCGTCTGGGATCTTAAAGGCTTGAAGGTAAACAAGCGGTCATCTAGCTGAGAAGCAACAAAGCCCACATGGAAGAAGCACCCCAGCCTGTGTGATTATTAGGTGTCTATGGGATCAGGTATCAGGCATCAAAGACCCAGGACAAAAAAACATATCATTGTGAATGAGAGAGTGTGTGGAGTGGAGACCCAAAGCCAATCTGCAGACAATTGGACATTTCCTTAAAGAAGGGTCACAAGGAAAACATGAGCCAGTCAGGGTGCAGTATAGCACCAATGAAACATACAACTTTCCTCTAGTTCTGTAATGCTTCCTACCCCACCACTATCATGACCCCAATTCTACCTCAAAAATCTGGCTAGACCAGAGCATGCACACGGGTACAGATAAGAGCTGGAGACACAGGGAATCCAGGACAGATAATTCCTCAGGACCAATAATGAGAGTAGAGACACCAGGAGAGTAAGGGGAAGGTGGGGGGAGAAAAGGGGAACTGATCACAATGATCAACATATAACGCCTCTCCCAGGGGGATGGACAGCAGAAAAGTGGGTGAAGGAAGACAGACATTGGTCAGTGTAAGACATGAAATAATAATAATAATTTATAAATTATCAAGGGTTAATGAGGGAAGGAGGGCAGGAGAGAGAGGGAAAAATGAGGCGCTGATACCAAGGACTCAAGTAGAAAGAAAATGTTTTGAGAATGATGATGGCAACATAGGTACAAATGTGCTTGACACAAAGGTTGTATGGTATGGATTGTGATAAGAGCTGTATGAGCCCCCAATAAAATGATTTTTAAAACAAGTAGATATTTTACAAACCTCATGTATAAATGTTTAGGTTAACTACATGGTAGCTTCAAGTAGAAAGCAATTCCAAATTTCATTTACTATCCATGGGAGCTTTGGGGACCAACCTCTTTTAGGTAAATGAGCTCTACTTCCTGTGTGTGCAGGCACTGACGAGGGAGGCATGAGCAAGAAAAACTAAATTTTCAAAGGTGGACCCTCAGTGGTCCTAATGAAATGCTCTTAGTCCATAGTTTTGTTAGGGGGATGCTGTTAATCCATGTTTAATTAAAGGGAATTTCAGTTATGAGTCTAATATGCAAACTGTGGGTTATCCAACAGTTTAGAACTATTTATTATAGTTAAAATTGTGGCTTAAGCTTCCAAAATATATATGTGTATACAATATATCATTTAAAATTCTACTTGTCGTTTTGACCCTCAACATCTGCCTGTCTTCTTATAAGGACCAAACTAGTTATAATCAGTTTATATCAATGAGCATCAGTAGTCTGTGTATATTTGTGGTACTTTGTGTGCATTGTTTTATTTGAGGCAAAAAGCAGATGGAAGACTCACTTAACAGAGCCCTGGTGGCACAGTGGTTAAAGTTCTTGGCTGCTAAGCAAAATGTCAGGTAGCTGCTAACCACCTGCTGCTCCACAGGAGAAAGATGGGACAGTTTGCTTTGGCGAGATCTACAGTCTTGGAAGACAAATTGACTAATTTTTTTGTAGTTCTCTATGATTTTATTGTAATTGGGAGTTTGTACCAAATTTATGGTGTATACACAGTTGTTTGGTAGAAAATTTAACCAAAACCAAAGTACATGTTAAGTTAATCATATTTGGTTTGGAATAGTTGAAAGTTACTGAATAAACAAAGATTGCCACTGTTCATAGAACTATATATTTTGTGTATGTACATAGGTGTATAACTATGATAAAACTTTTGAAATGCTAGGATAAAACATGAACTCAATATGTTTTGTGAAATACTCTAGATTTATTTTTTAACTCTTGTATTAATACTGGTTTTCTCATTTGTTTTCCCCAGCATGTTCCCCTATACATGTGAATAACGGTGTGTGGTAATTAGAATCAACTTTTTTTCCCAAGTGCTTACAGTTTTCTAGCACTATTTTTTTTCTTGCACTTTTTAGCTGTGGGCATTAACTAAAATTCAGTTGCATGCTCTGCCTTACATTGCTTTAATTCTTTGCTCATTTTTCTGGTTTAAGCTTTTGTAACTTTTGTCTAACAAAGAAGACAAAAGAAGTAATGATGAGGGCTCAGATTTGCAAATTTTGGCAGCCAAGCATTCGTGCCTAAACTCAGTAGTTTTACCTAACACTGCCCCTGAGAAGATGGGGGTGGATCCCGTTCATAATGTATAATCTCTCCATCTGAAAGGGACCCATCTCCTGACTCTGGCACAGCCTCACGGGATGAGTAATTCGACATTCCCCCTTTTCATTTGTTTATATAACCCCCACTGGCTGGAACAAGGCACCCCCCACCCCTTCACCCCACCCCGCACAGAAGGATTGTGCAGTAGTCATCTCATGTTTTCCCTTCTTTGAGCTTTTTCTGTGGCATTAAATGGAAATCCATGGATCTTTAAAGCTTTCGGGTGCATGTTTGTCTCGCTTTTATCATTTTTGCTCTCTTTGCCATAATCACGGTCTCATGTGTTTCACGGAGTGACCTCCTTTTTGCTTTTGTTTCAGTTCGAGATAAGTTGCGGGAAAAAGTAGGAGCATCCACAAACTGGAGGTATGCAGCCACGGATTTCATTGATGCTTTCATCTTTCATCCCCAAGCGGGCGTGGGGGGTGGGCTGGACTTAGGCCCAGTCAATGAGCTTCTCCTAGGGATGGTGGACCTGGTGATTGGTGATGGGTTAGTTTACTTTCAGACATACTTGTTAGTTGATGTATCATTGTCAAAATAATGTGATGTTCAATATTTTCTAGGTCTTTCAATAAGGCGTTCAAGTATATTACCTTACTGATTCTCATAGTATTGTGGCATATATTTTTATTTTTTTAAAAGCTATGTGATAAAAATGAGTCTCGCAAAATTGCATGATTAAATGCCAGGGATTTTCCATTATGCCATAAAATCTGACTCATTTATTGCTTCTTGTCAAGTTAGTTAATCTCTCTCAGTATTTCCCCGCTACGGAATAGGAAACGATCTTTCTTGGTGCACAGAATTTTAGGCTAAAATGAGATGAAAAGAGAAAAAAGCATTAGTGATGACTAGGTATATAATGATTTACTGTTGGGTATAGAAATTGTCTAATAACAGCTTTGTAATTATTTTGCCCAAAAAACTTCAAATATAATAACGAATACAAAGAATGGATACCTGTGGACCCAACTAGATTCAGTAATTGTTAACCTGCGAAATGTGTTTTATGTGTGCATATATTTTGGCTGAGCTGTTTCTAAGTAAATCATTGGACATCACGACACTTTAGCATGTAGCTCCAGTAGCAGAATCACTGTGACTCTCTAATAAGGAAGACATACCCTTACATAGCAAAATTGACAGTACTGTATATACTCGAGTATAAGCCGACTTTTCTTCAGCACATTTTTTAATGCCGTTTTTGTGGTAAAATGAGGTACCTTGGCAGATAGCTGGGTCGGCTTATACTCGAGTATATAGGTAATTCCTTAAAATTAGACTACATACTTCATAATCAGATTTCACAACCGTTCCCAATAAAATGATTAAAAGAAACCACAAAGGATGATCTGTAACATTGTAATTTGTACATAAGTTTTTTAATGAGTGAATTTGCATTATGAATTTTTTTCATTCATATATATGTAAGTGAACCAAAGGTTTTTGTCCTTTCCTTTGTTGGTCTGCTTTAAAATAAATAAATAAATAAAAGATGCTGATTTATTGGCGTAAAAAAAGATTGTGGTAGCAGTTGTACAATTCTGCTAGATGGGATTGAACTGTGGAATGATACGATATTTGTATTAGCTCCAAATAAAATTGTTTTGGAGAAAAAAATAAATATTAAATAAAGAGTATTCCATTGCTCACAGTTTTTGTGAATTCAAATTTCTGGTTTATATCATAATCTCTTTTCCAGTTCAATATTTTAGCTAGTTTTTTAAAATGTTGTTGTACCAGCAAGACTTTTCATCAGTTTCTGTTTATGTGTGAAAATAAAAACTGTCATTTAAATTTTTTTAATTTATTTTTTTAAAATTCATTTTTTTAACTAAAAAAAAAACCTATAAAAAAACCAAACACAACACCAAAAACTAACATATTGAATTGGTGCTTTTTAGTTCCCTAATCTAGTTGCCTGGGCCATTCTCCCCTACCCCCACCTTTTTGTCCCAAGAACTTGACTTTAAAGAGGCTAAACAATGTGCCTTATAGAGTTTCACATTCTGGATTTATCTGCTGCCATTTAACCTGTTCCTCTATTTTACATGGATCAAAAATTACATGACTGGATATATACTGAACTAGGATCACTAGGATACTAAATTAGGATGACTAGATGTATACTAAACATTCCTGGCAATACTACTTCATAAGTTATGCCTAGAGAGACATCTTAATTTGGGTCCTATTCCCTTGTCTCTCTTTTCTCTTCCACCTGAATTTTCTTTTTCTTCCCTTTATGTCTCCTTTTTACATTCTCTACCTCTTTACCTTTTTCTCTACTTTCCATACTCTTTTGGGTATACTCCATTTTTTTGCCTCTCTCTCTCTCTCTCTCTTCTGAAATTGAGAGGGAGGGAGGAAGAGAGAGATGAAAGAGAGGAAGAACTGGGACAGAGAGAAGATGAGATGGAATTGAGTGGCCATGTCATTCTTTAGTGCACACGTTTCTACCTCTGTGAATTTTAACATATAATATCAAGTATTCTATTTTTTAAGAGACTTATGGCACATTGCTTAAGCACTTGGCTGCTAGCCAGTAGGTTAGGAGTTCAAACATACCAGCAGCTCCATGGGAGAAAGATCTGTCAATCCACTCCTGTAAAGATCACAGCTTGGAAAACTTCGTAGGGCAGGTCTGCTTTTTCCTGTGGGTCTGTATGACTTGTAATCAACTCGACAGCATCATTCTATCCTTTGAATCATTTTTTCTTTAACTTTTATTGTAAATTAGGTGTTGGTTTACAGAGCAGATCAATTTTTCATTCAACGATTTATATACGTTTTGTTTCATCACTTATCTCACTTCCTCCCTGTGTTTCCTGTTCCCATTCCTCCTCCTTTCCTAACCCTCTGAAATTTGTCCTTGGGGAAATGCTACCCTTTTGATCTCAAATGGTTGATGTTTCTGGGGTGTGCTTACCCCATTAGTGTTGTTCTCCTTATAGACCTCTTGGCTTGGCTGGAAATTGAGCCATGAGATGAATTCATTTCCAGACCTGAAGGATGACCAAGGGCCATAGAAAAATAGTCCCTAGGGTTACACTAGTCTCTTATTTAACAAGTAATCCTGGTCTTTTTTATGGTTATGAGTTTTGTTCCCCCTTTTTGTCACTCTTGATCCAGGACCTTCTAATTTGATCCTTTTCAAAACAGGGTGGTAGCCAACCACCATGTAGTTCTCACCTGAGGTTCACAAAGGCTAATAGTCTCCTGGTCCATTAGTCCATTAGTCTAGTTGTTTCTATGCATCTTGTCTTTCCTCTGGAGAAGGACAGACCAATGGTTGCACAAGAGCGTCTAAGGTCCCAGTCACTACTACATACCTAAGCAGGCTGTAGAACAATGTGCTATGCCAGTTAATACTGATGTCCCTCAAGACTATGATCCTGAGTACCTAGGCCCATCATAAGTAGATTTTTTTTGATGAGGTGAATATATGGTCCATTTTGCTGTGTCTGTATTACTCTTAAGTATGTTTTTTTTAAAATCTCAAGTCTAAGAATTTTTACGAGAAATTTTTCATGTCACCACATGGCAGGAAAAAAGGGAAGAGATGAAGTAGGTTCAGACGTTTTCTATCCTTTGATACTAATAACAGGCCTCTGTGGCCCTGGGGTTGTAGGATAACATTGATCTTGTGTTTGATGAAGTGTGCATCCTTTTTTCCTCAGTGACCACAAGAAAGCAATGGAGGAAAGAAAATTACTTCATAACCTTTTGGCCAAGTCGCAGAAAGAACTACCACCGAGGCGAATGCAAGACAGCTACACGGAAGTTCTCTTGCCTTTGGGGAGTCAGCCTGAATTACGAGAGAAGTATCTGACTGTTCAAAACACCGTGAGGTAGCAAACACACCACTATTTTTATTTGTGGCATCTGTTTCTTTTCCTTTGCTTTTTTAAAAAACTGCAATTTTGAAATCTAATTCACTCACCATACAATTCCCCAATTTAAAATATACATCTTAAAATGCACTCATAGAGTTCATTGTAGAACTATCGCCACAATAAATTTGAGAACATGTTTGTAGCCCCGAAGTGTTTAAAAAACAGATAATCCTGATTGTGATTTAATGAGCACCATGCTTTATTTCACAGATTTGGCAGGATTCTTGAAGATCTTGACAGCTTGGGAGGTACTGGAATAATTTTCCTATTTCTCATCGATCAGTTAGTTACACACTGAGTTCTATGGTTGGAAAACATCTTTGTACTTTTTGACCTGCACAAATGAGGATCTCATGTTCTCAGATAATGGAGAAAGAAGACTGTCTACTACTAAATTGTCATCATGCTTTTTTATAAACAAAGGGTATAATAGGGTTATAGAGCTGATTACCGTATATAATTGAGTATAAGCCGAGTTTTCCCAGCACATTTTTTATGCCGTTTCTGTGGTAAAATTAGGTGCCTCGGCTGATAATCGGGTCGGCTTATACTCGAGCATATATGGTAATCTTTGCAAATGCCATTTTAAAACAAACTTAAGAAAAGCTGCAAATACCTTAGAAAACACTTTTTCCTCCCTGAATCATGTCAGAGTAACTATGCCGACATAGTTGTCCCCTGCATTCACAAACTTCCTTTCTGCCGCCCCTGTGTTTTCCTGATTACCTCCTGTTGATAGCTAATCCTTATTTCCTGCTAGCTCAATTCTGTACCTTCAGCTTCTTGGAACTTGTTTTATCACTGATGCATTCTACCTTCTAGCTTAAGCCTGTCCTCAGCTTCACATTTCCTTCAGCTTACAAACACCTTTAAAGCTTTAAATGAAAAGTAGATAAAACTTTTTCTTCTAACCCCCTTAAACTGTCTTTCTCCTGCACTGTACAGCTAACTTTCTGGAAAGACTTGGGAAAAATTTTTTGCCCTCATTGTCTCCACTTCCTAACTCCCTATTTCTCAGTCTATTGTACACTGGTTTCTACCTATATGTGTTACTGAGTTTACTCTTACGAAGTTCACTATTGACCCTTTCTCACACAATCTGAAGAATACTTCCTGGGCTTACTTGACCCCTTTGTAGGTTTCAGTATTACTGAATGCATAACAGAGAGTTTGGTTACTTCCAGCACTTCAGTTGCTATCAGTATCCGGAAGCTCTGTTTCCTGCCACCCATTTCTGAAGTCCAGACCCATTGTCCTATCTACCGAACATCTTCATTGGGAGAACCATAGACTTCTTAAGTTTAACATGTTGAAAATGGCCTTTTCTGAAGGACCACAAAACTTTTCAACGGAGTTTTTCTTTTTAAGATCATTTTATCGGGGGCTCTTACAGCACTTA